ATCTGCATGCAGTTTCATGCCCGTTGCTGGTTGGCTAACTAGCAACGGGGTCTTGCCAGCCAATGGAATTGTGTGATTACAAGCCAGGGGAATCCCATAAAAGAGGGCTCCCCTGGCCCAGAGCGCCAGTCCGGATTTACTTGATGCCTTGCCAATAAACCGAGAGCTGACTGTCACTCGACTCGTGTCTTACTGCCTGTGCGATCTAACAGAGGACATGCAGCGCTTTCAGCTGCTCCACTTTCTTAACACACCTCTCTGTTTGTAGCTCCTGTACAGCCTCCACCTCACTGCTGGGTGTTCAGAAAGAAGGAGACAGAGTGGGGGATGAGGAGGACTATTGGTGATGTCATGTCACCTTCTCTCTTCTGGCTTTAGAGCTTTGAGCCAGTAAATAGGCCTGCTGACTTTGGCTCCCCTCCTGGGATGGAGATTTTAACCAGGATATTCTCACCAGCCTAATTTGGCTGACCATGTTAGCCTTGATGAATGGGGTTTTCTGAACTGCCCCCCCCAAGGAAATATTTTACCCCCAAAGATAAGGGAAAGTTATGTGGGCTACAGGGGGAGGAGAGACAGTCTGCCACCCCCACTGATGCTCAGCTCTCCATTGAGTTGTGCCAATCTACTCTTTCTGGGATGGAGCCTTTGATGGAAATAGCAGCATTTGGAAGAGACAGTTAAGGCGTCTCTGCTTGTGACAGGAACAGGAAAGAATCGGGAAAGAGTTTCTGAGAGAAGGAATTGGGAGTGTTTTTAAGGAGGGAAGTTGAAGGTGTTTGTGAGGAATGTTTTTCAGGGAAGGAAGAAATCCCGCGGAGGGCAATGGATGCCAGTGATTCAGAAAGGGAGGAAGAGGGAACAGAACGATTCCTGTCTCCTCCCTACTATTTTTATTTTTGTACCAATTTTAGCTTTGAAAATACTCCCTTGTTGGAGCAAAGAGGTTGTGCATGTGAGGATGAACTGGTAGGTTAGGAGTTTTTTTTTAATGGTGCTGCTGCAAAGCAAGAATGTTTTTCTTGAAAGCTGAATTAAAAGATTGAAAACTCCCAACCTGAGGAGAGAGGGACAAAATCAACACCTTCTAAGTAGCCCCCTCTCTCTTCCAGAAGAAGCAAAAAAGGATTGCAATTGTTGGGTAAAAGTGAAGGTTATGGACCACTGGAGAAATCCCATCTTGTAACAGTGGAAGAGGTGGCTGCAGCTCTCTCCCTTCTTTCTCCCATTCCTTCTTTTCTTCCCTGATGGGAGGATGCTGGAGCGTCTTCGGCTGCAGCCCTGAGAGGGAGGGGTGACTCCATGGGTCGATGACTTGTGGCTGTGTGCTGATGACACCCAGGCATGTGCAAAGTTCGCCATGTCTAGGTTAAATTTCTTTAGACAAACCGCAAAATAAATCTGAGTAAAGGCTGAGATTACCCAAGTTCCCTCCAAAGTTCTGTGTCTCTATGTCTCCCTTTTGGCAGTTGGAACAAAAGCTCATGAAGCTCCCTCCTTGTCCTCCTTCTCACAAGCAGATGACAGGCAGGGCTGGGGAGACCAGATCTTAGAGAATCTGAAGAAGGGAAGCTTTCAGCCTGGGTGAGGCTGGGGCAGGTGGAGGGACAGCCTCACCCATGCATCAAGCAATGGGGATGACATGCCAGAGAGCCATCAGAGTCCTCTCAGTCACTGGAAGCTTGGGATTGTTGTATGGGGGGGGGGGACAGTAATGTGAATCTGAGCAGATTCCAGTTACTCAAAATCCTGGTTTCCTTGTTCACGTGGTATCCCATAGCCGGGAGGCTATTGGCCTAATGTAGGTTCAAACCATAGTCACAAGCCCAGACGAGCGTGCAGGAACATAAACCTCATTGGGGGCTCGCCACTTGACAATAGTTGGGAGGACCATATAGGGCAATCAAACAGAGAAATGATTTATGGGCTTGCTAGCTCTATAATTGGCTAAATAGCCCTAGCAGCCCATGTCTACGTCAATATTAGAAAACTGGCTTGTTTAGTAGTAAAATGTATAAGCCAAACATCAAATGCTACTCATCTTCTAAATGAGGATCAGGAACAGCAAAGAACGGCAATTTTGCAGAACATCCTGGCCATGGACTTTATGCTATTCAACATGGCCCATGGCTGTGAGGAGTTTTCAGGTTTGTGTTGCTTTAAACTCACTGACAATTCCTTGACATCCTTTACCTATGAATATGTACACTTACATCATTTGTTACTTAGTCTCTCCTGACATTTTGAGATACATAAATATGTGTGCATCTATTTATTATATGTGGGGCCATCTCTCAATATTAGTGTGTTTCCCCAAAAGCCCTACCCTGAAAATGAACCCTAGTTTTGGGGTGAGGCACACATCTAAAAATCAAGGTAGGGCAGGGTTGGGGGTGTGTGACTGCCCCACTTGCCCCACACACATTTATCTTGCAGCCAAGCCTCTCCTCGCCACCCCACTTCTTTTGCGGTGTCTCCTGCAGCCAGGCCTGCATTTCTCAGTCACAAGCCTTTCCAGAGGGCCACTGCAGCCAAGAACTGAGCTATGGATTCCATCCATAGCTTGGTTTTGCAAGACCTCTGCAGCCAAGGATCGAGCTATGGATTGAATCCTTAGCTCAGTACTCGGCTGCAGAGGCCTTCTGGAACCTGTATGGTGAGGATAAAGAGGGCTACCAACAATTTAAAAAACACAAATATTAATTATTAATTAATTTTATTATTTGATGATTATGTTAGATTTTAATTTTATTAATCTAACTATTTTTATTTCCTTGGATTTTAAATAACCAAACTGTAAAATAGAGGATAATGAACCACATAAATCAACAACAATTGCAATCAATAATCAAATATTATGAGCGTAAGAAACCATTTCATCATCAGGTCCCTATTGTTACCATTAGATGTTCCTTAGTATTTAGATTTGGCCTCAGGATGATAATGTAGCACTTGGGGAAGAAGATGCAACCCAACAGCCCAGCACCAGAAGACAAGATGGAGAAAACCTGCACGGCCACCATAGACTTTCCTTTGCTGCTCAGGTAGGTGGGCAGGAAGGAGACCCAGACACTGCAGAAGACCAGCATGCTGAAGGTGATCAGTTTGGCTTCATTGAAGGCCCCAGGCAGGTTTCTGGCCAAGAAAGCCACCGTGAAGCAAATGGCAGCCAGGAAGCCCATGTAGCCAAGGACAATATAAAACAAAGTGACAGAGCCTTCATTGCATTGAAGGATGATCTCTCCAGGCTGGGAGTGCAGGTCAGAGTCAGGGAATGGTGGAGAAACTCCCAGCCACATGACACAGATAGAAATTTGGACACCTGAACAAGAAAGGATGATGGAGTTGGCCAAGCTCTTTCCCAACCATCTCCTCATCCTGCTCCCTGGTTTTGAGGCCAGGAAGGCCAGCACTACTGTGATTGTTTTGGACAACACAGAAGACACTGCTACTGAGAAGACAATACTGAACATTGTTTGTCGGAGAAGACAAGTGGCTTTCCTTGGTTGTCCAATGAAGAGAAAGGGAGACAAAAAACAAAGCAGGAGGGAGACTAGGAGGATAAAGGAGAGGTCCCGGTTGTTGGCTTTGACAATGGGAGTTTCTAGGTATTTAAGGAATATGATTAAAACAAGGCCTGTGGTTAGGAACAAGAGTAGAGCAAAGGAAATAAGGATGATGCCCAGATGTTCTTCATAGGACAGGAAGGTTAATTTTTTTGTAATACATTTGACTCGGTTCTTGGTTGGATATTGATCATCTGGGCACTTGGTGCATTTTTTGATATCTGAAAAAACAAAGTAACATTTCTTTTATAGTCTTTCAAATTTCAAAAAAACCTTTGGATGAGATGTGATACTGAGAGATAGGAAAGCCTCAGTAAATGGTATATTCTTATAGTCCAGCAAAAAAATTCCCCAATATAACAAACTAATAAAAACAAAAACAACACAATAAAATTAAAAGAAGAAATATCTGATGCCACAACTTTCCTTCTATGAGGTAATCCACCAGATTCTTATCCCAAATATCTGGGAGAAGTAGCAACTCTCCAGAAGTTTAAGCAGATGAGGGCCTATTGGATTTTAAGGGGAAGTGGGTTCAATAGGGCAGGAACTGCACCAGAAAAGGCAGGCTTGTGAGGACCAATAAAGTGGCAATGTTTTAGGGAACAGATCTTTTGTATGCCAATTATATCTGCTTTGGTGGGACAAGCAGATATCCTCAAGGAGAGGAAGCCCTGCAGAACACTTTGTTCTGTCTCATGTAGGGTTTGAAAGGTGAATTTAATTGCATTTGGAAAGAAACGGGGAGCCTGTGCAGCCAGCACAATAAGGGTGTCCTGTGGAAGAACATAAGGAAACCCAACATTGTGCATGGCTTTGCATTCTGGACCATCTGTAAATTCAAGGTGTTTTTCAAGAGCAACCCCATGAGTATGGGATAAAAACATGAAAACAGAAAATTGATGGCAGAAAAAGATCTAGTGATCCATCAAGTCTGCTCCTTTAACTTTTTTGTTTTCTTATATATTTAATATTTTATTTATTTATTTTTTTCAGATGATGGGCATATGTTTATTCCAAAAACATTTAAACTCAGTTACTGATGATTGATCCACCTGATGGCTCATCTATTAAGAATCAATAGACACCCATCGTAGGAAAGAATGAAGAAACTCTACTACATATGTTAGTTTGAAATAAAGTAAACATAATAATACTGCCAGGAATTAAGTTACAAAAAATAAGCAACCGTAACCGCAAATAGAGATAAAGGACATATAGAGCTTTGTGCAAGACAATTATATGGAGAAAATGATACAACTCCACAGATGAACAGACATGTATACTAAACGCAAGGTAGAACTCCCAAAAAGATAAAGGTTCTGTGAAATTTCACTTCCCCATTTCTTCAAAACAACCGTATAAAACATCATGCTTTGCTATTTTTCAGGGTCTCAACCGCCTTAGGGGTTGGTACTGGAGTGCTTTAATAAAAGTTTATTATGAAAGTCCGTCTCTCACTTCTGGCTCTGATTGGCTGTGTGCCAGGCTTACCCATTTTCGGACAACAAAAGAAGCAGAAAAAAATAAGTCTGCCATCTGAGCATTTTCTTTTTTTCTTTCTTATTTCTTAATTTTTTTAAAATTTTTGTCAGATGATGGACATACTGTATGTTTATCAAAAAAGGGTTAAACACAGTTACTTCTCTCCCTCCATTGTTCTTCCCAATTAGATATTTCAGCTTATAAAGATTTATGATCTTGATAAAAATTAACTGATTAATTGAAGAATTGATTGATGTTTCTTTTGGCCTGTAATGTAAAGTTGATTTAGGTATGCAAATCTTATTGATTTAAAATCATTTTCAAGTTACAAAGAATACAGATATTTCTAAGAAAGTAAAACATGGATGGAAACATCCACACTGGCAAATGAAAGAGAGATGATGATGATGATGATGATGATGATGATGATGACTGCTGCTGCTGATGATGATGTTGATGATGATGATTATTATTATTAACAACAACAGCAACAATAACAATAATAATGTTGGTAGGGACTTTGGAGGTCATCTAGTCCACCCCTCTGCTCAGGCAGGAAGCCCTATTCCATTTTCTATCCAATCCTACCTCATCCTACAAGATCTTTTTCTTTTCCCTCCCATTAGGGAAGAAATTGGACACCATGAAAATTAAGAACAAAACAAATCAAACTTAAATGTGTCTTTAAGAGGCATATTGATCAAAGTTTCCCTATGGTGTCACCCACCTTCCTGAGTGGAGATGGTCCCCTCTGGACAAGGAATGCAGTCGTAGCAGCAAACTGGCTCTCCTTCTCAAGCCTGCTTGACAAATCCAGGCTGGCATTTTTCCACGCATTTAGACTGAGGCAGAGACTAAACAGAAAAAGAAGAAATGCCAAAGAAAATATGTCAGGACTCACCAGCCATGTAAGATGGAGGTAGACATGAACATCAGCCAAGTCATCTCTGGGCTTCACATAGGCAAATATGAAATCTCTGACCACTTCCACATGGTGGCAGGAGACACAATTGCAGGCAGATGCTTCATTCAGTTCCTCCCTTTTTCTTCTGACATATCAGATTACAATAAAGTAGCTTTCTACTTAACAAAGTCTGGAGGGATGAAACTGAGAAAAGATTTAACCATTAAGTGGCAGCCGGTGGGATCCTCCGATTATTGGAATTAACATGCATTCCTCCATTCTTCATGAATGCTTGATTTTAAAATATTCACAAATACTAAGTGTTAGAGTGAACTTTATTGTAAAATATATGTATTATTTTTTCATTTCATTGGATTTATTAAACTAGAATAAAACTGTGAAGAAGAAAGAAACTTTTGACCAGTAGGATCTGGAAAGGTTTCTTCTGGAGTGCATAAAACATTGCAAAGCTGCTTCCCTTTGAAAGCAGTCCAAAATTATCTCCTGTTAAGATAAAAAGGGAAATTCCCTTACAGAGAAGGGCTGTTAACCTTAAAGATATTCTTCATTCATTTATATAGCTGCCATGCTGGTAAACTAAAACTAAAACTGGCTGACTAGTTTCTAAAACGATACTGAGGTGAGAAGGAGGTGAGGTCGTGAGAACTTGTCCCTCAAAAAGGGTGAATTAGGGCTTTTTTGACGCACCACATGGGTCATGATTGTGAGCCCTGTGTGGAAAGGAATATTCAACACAAGGTATCCAACACAAGGTTTTTTCTATTGAGAGAATACAATTAGGTGAACACAATCTGACAGGGAAATACACACTCGTATTTATTATTAGTTTGATTTGTAACCTCTCAGTGTGTCCAAAAGTTGCTAACAATCAAGATAAAAAGTTGCATTCAAGGGATTTCCTTCAAAACTGCCCTTCTTTTACTTCTGATATCAGGATTTCCTTTTCACCAAATCATGTTTCAGTACTTCAGTTTTCAAGCCATTATCATGGTGAGATGGGCAGAAAATAAATTTAATCAATCAATCCATAAATGAGCTCACATCAGACCAGTCATTATTATTTCATATGAACTGAAAGCCTTGGATATTCTTCCTAAAGTCCACTATCCCAGTGGGGTCAGAGAGAGGCAGCTATAAGCATGTTCCTGTCTCACCATATGAGTCCCTGTCTCACCAGTTTTATGGTGATACTAAACTGCCGAAGGGACACTAAATGGCAATGATTCATGTCCTAAATAATAATCACCCCATATCTCATTTTGGATCAGCTTACAACAGGGTTTAGCATGATAGCATCAGAAGGGAAACCTTGGTCAATAGAACTGAAGCATGCTTACCTGCCTAAGAAAATTATAGAGATTTTACTCCACACATTCAATTCTCAGTGAAGGTGACCCACTTTTTTTTATTGGGTTTAGCACACTTGAAACGGCTTTGGAAAAAAGAGAAAAGACTTCAATATTTTCCCCACCTTGTTGAGCAATTTTAACTGTGACAACGCATCTTGTTTGATTGTAAGTCTCTGTCTTTCAAAAATCCCCAATACCTGTTCGATGGGATCCTCCTTGGGGAGAATCACCTTACTAATGATCTGCAGATCTGCTGCTATGTCTCCATTCTGATCCAAGTACACTTTCAGCAGGGAAAGATTGTACAGTTCCCTCTTCTTTAGAAATGGATGGAACTAGAATGGAAACATCCAAGAATTTAAAAGCAGAAATCTTGGTTTCTTATCTCTTATCAATTTTTACATTTGAATCTTTCTTCTATGGTTGTTTAGCTTGCAAATATTGTGAATTGGGAGAACAAGTGTTACCATTATCTTCAGAACTGAAGTACAAAGATTCAGCAATATTTCTAAATCATGTCATATACTGATAAAATGTATATTGAAAAAATGTAATTAACAAAAATTATCAATCAAATATAACAGTCTAGCAAAGGTCACCAATCAAGTAAAAAAATAAACAAATAACTAGAGTATTCATGAACTCCTTGCAAACAATAGGGTGATTACCAGAAAGCAAGGATTTGTTAAGAAGAAAGTTGCAAGGCTAATCTTCATTCAGGTAGAAGAGATAGGAAAAATGACCAGATGAAGTAATTCTACTTTATTGTAAGGCTATATTAACAAAATCTTGCATTGTGAAAGTACAAATCTTTCACCATCTATTTTGACAGTCAAAAAATTTAGGGAGGACTTTTTCTGAGTTTCTTTCTCTGCCTGTTACGCAGCTGTGGGTTGAGCCCCCCACAAACCATCTTATCTGATCCTTCCCTGCATCTCTTTCTCTGGTCCTCCAAACTCATTCACACATATCATTATACTTCCTTAACAGATTGTGTGAATACTGGTAGTATAACTTGTTTTTAGCGAAGAATTAACAAAGTGCTTCATGATGTGATGAATGGGGATCTAGTTAATTGAGTGCTGGATGGTATGAGATAATTAAGTGGATTCAACTGTTTCAAAAATTGTACTCAAATAAATATTAATATTTCTGATAAAATTGGGGAATTATGAAAAACAATTAGACATTGGTGATTGTTTCTTCTATATTTTCTTTAATAAAGGAAGTAGATAAATCATGATTTTGTGATGCAAAAATTTTAATAACACTTGGACAAAGTTATTTTGGTCTCCTTTAATAATCCCCAGCTTCTCTCAGGTCCCTATAGATCCCTGTCTTGATGCTGCCATCCTGATGGGAGGGGGGACCTTTGGAGCTCTCCTGTGATGTGTTTAGCTTTGCTTTGTTGACTCCGTTCCGCTACCCGAGGTCATCTGCCTTGATGGAATCAGTGACCAGTCATTGCAGGGTGCAAATATGACTGACTGCCTTCGCAGTGTTTATTACTTTTTATACAGTATTCCAAGTAGCATAAAGTAACACGGCAACAGCATTTTTATTGGTGAAACTCCTTGCCAATCCTTAAGAATATACTAGCTAGGAGGCCCCAGCCAGGGAGCAGTTTTCTGCCACATCCTGTTGGTGTAAGCTAGCTGATATCATGCAGGTGAGGTCATTACCAGGGGTAGTTTCCCACATTGCCATGGTGATGTGAACAGATGAGATCATGTAGAGAGGAGAGGCATGAAAGCTTTGGAGGGGCAGTTTGCTGCTCACAACCTCTACCTGACCCTATCTCTACACTGCCTCACCTCACCAAGGAAGAGATGCCTTGGAACATCTTACCACAGTTTCCGTCTGGAGTTCTCACAACCTCTTTGCACCTCTGGATTGGCTCCGATGGACTGGGCAGTTGAGAGGGATTTTGAACAATGGGGTTTAGCCTAACAATTTTACCCGGGAACTTCAGATTCTGCCTGCCTAATTATTAGCATCCAGGATTTGATACATGATTGTATGTATGTAATGAATGGCAAGTATAATCTGTATTAATATTTCATTTGTAGTTTTTCTCACATTATTCTATGCCTAGAATGGTTACTGATTATAATAAAATAGTAGTAATATTTTAATGTTATGATTATAACTGTATTATTATTTTTTGATAATGTCATTAATGATCCAGTGGAATGATATCAGGCCCTCTTCCAGGCACCAAACTTGGAGAATGCACTGCACAAAATTTTCATCAGCTTTAGTCAAGGACAAAGGAGAGGAAGAGATCAAAGGAGCTGCTTTAAGCCTTGAGGAAAGACATAAAGCAGCAGAACCATGTTGGAATAGAATAGAATAGAATAGAATAGAATAGAATAGAATAGAATAGAATAGAATAGAATAGCTGGAAGGGACCTTGGAGGTCTTCTAGTCCAGCCCCTGGCTCAAGCAAGAAAAACCTATACCATCTCAGACAAGTGACTGTCTAGTCTCTTCCTAGAAATCTCAAGTAATGGAGCGCCCACGATTTCTGAAGGCAAGCTGTTCCACTGATTAATTGTCCTTACTGTCAGGAAGTTTCTCCTTAATTCCAGGTTGCTTCTCTCTTTGATCAGTTTCCAACCATTGTTTCTTGTCCTAGTTTACAGGAGCTTAAAATCAGAAAAAGTCTGGGAACTTTTTTTCGAACATATAAAAGGTCTTGGTTGTTGAAGGGAGGATGCAGCACTCTTCCGATAAGTAGGACATGTTGTACAGAAGCTTAAGATCTTAAACCACAAAGCCCAGAGAGCACAAAAGACCCTGAAAAGGAATTTAGTTTGATGGATTCTTGTTGGGACCTCATACCTTCCACGGCTGCAGCCTTGGAGCCCCCAACCTCTCTTCACCCTTCTTCCTTCTCCTCTGGGGTTTGGATGCAGCACTTAAGACGTGGGTCAGAATCTTTATGATGCTATAAGTAAAAATGCTATTTGCGACCCACATCTTATTCTTTTTCTCTTGGGTCTCCACTGGTGCTTTCTTTGTGCATCTTTTCTGTCCTTTGACAGAAAAGGTGTATTTTGAAACAGAACAGTGCAAATACTCAGCTTGAAATTCAGGTTCCACAAAGAAATATCTTTTAAAGGCATTATCGTTTTCCCAACTCTTTTTCCACTGAAAGGGAAAGCTCCAAATACTATGGACGTGCTTGAGACGCCTATCCTTTTTCCCTGTAAATGTTCCAACCATTGCTATGATCCAGACTTTCCCTTCAATGGGTCCTGGCAAACCTTCAAGTGCTGAATGGAAGGGAAGAATTCTGTCCCAAGGGGACTCAAATTCCATGAAGTGAACAAAGATGTTGACTTGTCTCCACTTAGAGAGGGCATCTTTGAGGGATGGTGTACGTCCAGTCATTGAGAATTGTTGTGTTATAACAACACAAATTCTATTCTTGACAAGCATAGGAGTAAAAGTCCTCATGAAATTCTCTCCCTTCTCTGTGTCTGGAGCAAAGAGACCAATCAGGGTCCATCCAAAATGGAGGAGAATTTGGACAATTCCTGGGTAATGGATCCCTTGTTTGGGGAGCATCGGATGGAAAAAAGGGAATTGACTTTTATTACTCAGAGCTTCAGAAGTAATTCTCTCACTGACCTGAAAAAAGCAATTCTGTGTTATATTTGGGGTCCTACCAAGTCCCAATTTTTAGCTTTTAATAAATCGAATATTTTTCTCATGCACATATTAGAACATTTTCTGTTGCTTAGTCATTAGGCCATATCAAAGTACAGAATATAAAACACAGAATATAACAAGACTGCATGTAAAAACAAAATTTAGAAAAATAAGTACAAAAAATTAAAATAGTATTTCTTTATAACACCAGAATTTACCATTATCAGACCATAATTTCTTTCCAAAAAGGGCATTATTATTTACAACTTTTGAATTCTGAGCACAGAGGAAATACATTTTTTTAATATTAGGATCCCAATAGATTGTTTCTCTAAAGTGCAATCCAAGATATTGATCTCCCTCTTTCTTAAACAATTGACATTCAAAATAATAGCTGTATTACATCTTCTATTTCTGGAGCTCCACAAATACAAATATATTCATTGTAAGGAGTTTGGAAGATTTAACTCAATACTTGGAAGGTACATTTGTAGCAGCTGATGCCTTTCAGTGTGCCAACTTACTGAACATACTTTTCTCTATTTTGAAGATTTTGGATTCTTTGTGCAGTATTTTTTTAGGTTTTTCTCGAGTGGCAAAAAAAGACAGGGAGATGACAATTCCTAATATAAAATCAAGAATATTTTAAATGAAATTTGTTTGTTGTAATAGTGTTTGGGGACTTTAATGAAGATAAGGACCAAGGGTTACATGATAGCAGTCTTCCAATATCTCAGGGGCTGCCCCAAAGAAGAGGGAGTCAAGCTATTTTCCAAAGTGCCTGAAGGCAGGACAAGAAGCAACGGATGGAAACTAACCGAGGAGAGAATCAACCTGGAACTAAGGAGAAATTTCCTGACAGTTAGAACAATTAACCAGTGGAACTCCTTGCCTCCAGAAGCAGTGAATGCTCCAACACTGGAAGTTTTTAAGAAGAGACTGGACAGCCATTTGTCTGACATGGTATAGGGTTTCCTGCCTAAGCAGGGGGTTGGACTAGATGACCTCCAAGGTACTTTCCAACTTTATTATTATTATTATTTAAAGAAAATTTTATTGATTTTCTATTTTTACATTTAAATATTTGAAAATCAACGTGGCAGCTGAGTTAATCGATAATTCAATAACATACAAATATCTTTAATACAGATCTGAAACTATTACATTAAATATTTCCTCTCTTTTCCCCTTAGTATTTACTGTCTCATATTTAAACTAATACAATTCTTATTATATCGATTAAATAAAAAAGTAACTTTCTTACATTTATCAATAATTTTTAGTTTATACATATCCTAGTTATTTTAACATTCAATCTTTATAGACAATCAATGTCCTAATTAGTTTTTCCTAATTTTTAGTTTCCCATTAATATTTAACTTTAACATTTAATAATTATAATTTCCAAGTTTTAAATAACCCCAGTTCCCTTTATCACAATTCATCACAAGATCTAATGTTCAGATTACATGTCTTACCTATTTGAATATATTCTATTTCTCATCATCTTACATCAACTAATTAATACAATATAACATTCTTATTTTCTTTTAATTTCCAAGTATCTTAAATTTAGTAACCATATTTCTTTTATTTCAACATTTAATTCTTCTACTATCTCATATTTAATTGTTTTTATTATATCAGCTAAGTAAAGACATATTTACTACATTCATCA